TCATGACCTGAGCCGAAGGCAGACGCTTAATGACTGAGCCACCCAGGCGCCCCAGCAAGACTCCTTCTTTGATTATCCCAAGAGAAAGGGACCTTTCCCTCTGAATCCCCAGACATGTAAGCTAATTCCCGTCCACCTCATCAATGCTATCACCATGACTCCCACATTCTGTGCCAAAAATAAGCAGGAAATAAAAGAAACAAAATTTTGCCCCAAAGAGCTTACTACATTCCAGGGACTAAAGGTTTACTAGTATCCTGGTTAGAGAGGAAAAGAACTTGGGAGAAAGTCAGTGAGAGAGGAGAAGGTACAGTGTGGCCTGGGAATCCACCAAAAGCATCCTGTGGGGCGCCTGGGTGGCTCAGTGGTTAAGCGTCTGCCTTCGGCTCAGGTCATGATCCTGGAGTCACAGGATCGAGTCCCCCATCGGGCTCCCTGCTCAGCGGAGAGTCTGCTTCTCCCTCTGACCCTCCCCCCTCTCATGTGCTGTCTCTCATTTTCTCTCTCAAATAAATAAATAAAATCTTTAAAAAAAAAAAAAAGAAAAAAGCATCCTGAGTCCACGGGCTCACCTATACTGCTCCTGCTCATAGAGGTCAGCCACGATCGTCAGCAGGCGGCTGATGAAGGACTCGTCGCTGCTTTCCTTCTTTGCTTGCGCAGCCAAAAGAGTGCATCTCTTCTCTGTCTCTGCCAACGTCTTCTGCAGCTTCACGTACTCCTGTCGGAGAAGCATCAAGTGCTTCTCCAACTTGGCCACCTCCTCTGCGAGACAGACAAAGAAGCAAGTTTACCACGGCAGGTGTGACGCAGACAGCTTTCACTGACCCCTCACCCCACAGACAGGACCATGAGCGAAAGGACTGTTCCTTAGTGATACTCCCTTCGGGACCCGTAATGTGTTTATGGGTGCCACTGCATCACTGGGCCAGAAAGACCTTCAGGTCCAGGAGTTTCTCTTCTCAGTTTCTCTAAAGATCAATACTCAATAAATGACAAGGAACAGACACACAGAAGATGCTCACAGGTACCTGCCCTGCAAATCCTTTACCATAAAAGCCAGGAGTCTCAAGGAAAGATTATCAAGACCACCTAGGACTGTTTTTTCAAACCACTAGTAGTGAAAACTGATTCTTCTATGTCCCATGTGAACTCTTTCTCAGGCAAGCTTCAGAACAATCCCATGAGGTCGGCACAATCACTAGCCACCCTGAGCAGGTGAGGATGCTGGGGCGCAGAGAGAGTAAGAATTTGCCTGCGGTCCTGCAGCTGGTGAGGGGGGGGCTGGGATAAAAGCCCACGCATTCTCACGCCAGGGCCTGTGGTCTATTACCCACTATCCCACACCACCTGACCTCCCCTCCTTCAGGAAAGAAACAGGGCAGTCAATAATGCTTCAAATGAAAGCAAGTCACATCCACAGGCATGCTGAGGCGGATTAAAAAGCTTGGTTCTTAAATTCAACATTTACCGAGCATCTACTAGGTAACTAGTAGACACTGTACAATGGTAAGCAAATTCAGATGTGTCTTTCCTCAGAGCTTTTAGCTTGCTGCGGAAAGCAAACTTTTATGATTACAATAACAATGCTAACAATCAAAGGCAGAACTACAACTCTAGGAGCACTAGAAGGAAAGAACGAGGTGTGAGAACCTATAATAAATTTAACTTAGAACGCCAGGGACGACTTCCCTGAGGAAGTACACGGTCAAGAAACGTCTCTTCTCCATTACCTGGGCTCCAGAGCCTTGCTGAGGTTCACAGCACCATGCTAATCAGTACCTCTACAGATCATGGTTAGAGACCTGGATCTCTAACCAGGGTGCTGCTCCCGTCCTCCGAGCCTTGGCCCCTTTCCCCCCTCCACCCCTCACCAGACACTACAAACCCTGACACTGCCTCAAGCCCACCTCCCACGCAACCTGCCTCATTCTCAGTGTCTTGAGAAAACTGAGCTACTGCCAACAATCTGGCCACACCAGCAATTCCTCCCACCCACTGGGTGCTTCCTCAGGACAAGTACCTCCCTCCTATGCAAGTGCGTAATCCCTCCACCTCAGCTCCAAACCCATCCCTCTGCTCAGGTCCTTTGCTTTATCATCAACCTCCCTTCTCAGCAACTTCTACCTCTTTCAACTGTGTCCTTCTCCTCAGCACATAAACCTGTTCAAGACTCTAGTAAAACAGGGCGCCTGGGTGGCTCAGTCGGTTAAGCGACTGCCTTCGGCTCAGGTCATGATCCTGGAGTCCCGGGATCGAGTCCCGCATCAGGCTCCCTG